TCACAGCGAGGTGGGCACAGTGCAGGGCCGTTACAGGCTTCCTCCCCTTCCCAGCTGTCCCATCTGGGTCTGTCAGTCCTCTTCCTAAAGGGGGGCTCTTCCTAGATGGGGCGCAGGCATCAGTAGTCCCTGAGACCCCTGCCCGGCTAGGAGACATAGATCATGTTTGGAAAGGACTGACAACTTGTCCAGATCCACAGTCTTAAGCTCCAGAATTTTCTGGGGCTCAGGTGCCTCTTTGGGGTGGTAGCCAGTGGGAGACCTGACACTGCCTCCTTACCATTTCCACATCACCTCCTGTGGTGGTCAGTCACAAGGCCCCTGGAGAAACAGGGCAGAGGGCCGGCATGTGGCCAGAATTATGGCTCCTGCCCTGAAAGGCTGCCTGGGTCTGCAGCAGAGCCCCGCTGCCCCAAAGGCCATGGGAGGCCTTGGCCAGGCCTTCGCCTGACCTGGACCTCAGTTCACCCACTTGGGCTATGTGTGGGGGTGGAGAGGTGGCTGGTCTCTTTGTGTCCTTCCTGTTCTGAAGGACCCACAGGGTCTTTCCTGCCTTTAGAAGAGAACAGTGGGTCCTGCTGCGGGACCCCCAAATCATTCTCCGGGGGCTGTGGGAGTAGCAGCCCTCGTAGGCATTCTGGCTCCCTTTCCACCCTCCCTGGGGCTCAGTTATGTGCTGCTCCAGCCCGGTGGGCCCTGGGTCCCTGCTGGGCCACACACAAGGCAGCCACGCATCATGCCATGCTGACCTCCAGCTCACCTCAGGGTGCCCAGCCCCCTCTGGTCAGCAGGCCTCCCTGGCAGAACATACCAAGCTCCGACCAGGCCTCTGACCTCAGGCGTTCCCTCCTGCTCCGCAGGCCCCCTCCCCAGATCTAGTGCCCACTCCCTGTGTCCCTGGCTCCCTGCCACTCAGGCTGGAGGGGGTGGAGGGGGTGTGCGACAGCTGTGTAAGCGATGGTGGCTGCCCCTTCCTGCCCCTCCCCCCCAGCTGTCTCTCTCCCATGACAGCTGCCCAATCAAAGGGCTGGGGGCTTAGCCAGCTCCCCCCACATACAGGGATCAAGTGTCCACCCTGGCTTTGTTCTGGAGCAAGAACAATCCAGGGGAGGGGAGGGCTCCTGGAGCCAGGCGACTCAAGTGGACCGGCCCCCCCTCGGGGGATTCCCTCGGCTCTGCTAGCCAGAGTATCTGGACCAGCTAGGCCTGTGGAAGCACCTGGGCTGGGGAGAGAGAGGGGGTACAGTGTGCAAGGTCACCCCCGCCTCACATCCCCTAACGCTCCCCTCAGCCCCCCAGCCCCCAACTTGGCAGCCCCTTCTACGGCTGCTCCAAGAGCAGCCATGCTGGCCACACCCAGTGATGCTGGGCAATGGCTGGGGCATCAGGCAAAGCAGGGGTGGCAGGGGGTGGCCACCAGGCACCGGGGGATCTACCTGAGGGATCCTGGCTCCTCTGCCTCCCTGCCTGGCCCTTTCTCTGGGCATGCTCACCTCCTGATCAGCTAGACCTCCACAAAAACTGTCCCAGTGTCCTAAGACCTGTGTGCCCAGCCTCTCAGCCTTCCAGCCCTCAGGATGGCCCTTCATACCTACTTCTTGGGAGAGTCAGGGGCCCACAGGGGAACAGCCCAGGGTCCTTGAGCTCCAGCCTCTGCTTTCTTGACCCACAGCTGTCCTGTAGACTGTGCTAGACAGCGAAAGGGGTCCCTAACAAGCTGGCTGGTGCCAGAAAGGCTACAATCCACTTAGAGCATCATTAGATACCCCCTCAAGAGTCCTCATAGTCAAGGGAAACTGAGGCATGCCCAGGCCCAGACTGAGCTCCAGGAGAAAGGGCTCAGCTTGGTGGTGCAGCCCCACCCACTGGTACCCATTCCCATCACTGTCTCACTCAAAATGAGAAAGGTCTCTAGCTCCATCTTCATGCTGGTAACTGGGTCACTGCTGCTCAACAGCCATCCTTGGCTGCCCAGTGCCCAAAGAATAAAGCCAGATCTCCACAGACAGGCACACAAGTCCCTTCATGATCTGTCCCCTGCCAACTTCTCATCGCATTCCCACCCCATCCCCCACACACATCAGGCTGCAAAAAATGCCTAGCAGCACCTCCTGGTCTCTGGGCCTTTGTCCAGGCTGATCCCAGCTTGGAATACCTCCTCCCCACTCTGTCAAAACCCTTCTCAAATGCCACCTCCTCTGTGAAGCCCTCCCTGCCTTCCAAGTCAGATGGAATCTGTCAGGCCTCTGTGTCCCCCAGAGATCTGCCTGCAACAAGGGGCCCCAACTGGGCATTTCCAAGCCTGTCTTTCCACTACCCATAGCTCCAGGAGGGCAGGAGCCAGGACCAGGCTCAGCGGTGAGAAGATAAGACTCACAGGGCCTGAAGGCATCAGGAACCAGCAACGGGGCAAAGGGTCCCAGAGGAGCAGTGAGGGTGGGGTGAGAAGACCGGGGTTCAGGGGACCAGTCACATGGGAGAGCCAGCACCTGCTGGGGAGGGCTTCCTCAGCACCCCCGCCCCTGCTCCTGCTGCTTCTCTAGGTCTAGGGGCTCCAAGGGCATGTCACTGGGCCACGGGATTGCCACAGTGCTTGGAGACTTGCAGGGGCCCAGAGAGGGTTTCCCATAGAGAAGAGGGGCTGGAAGAAAAGCTGGGGTGGGGCACAGGTTTCACAGAGTCAGCTCAGCCTACAGAAGGGCCTCATCAGAGAGGAACCTGAGGCCCCGAGGCTAAGGGGCTTGTTGGTGAGGCTACGTGAGAGGCAACGGGCAGATCTGGGAGGACCCAGGGGTCCACCTGTGAGGCTAAGAGCTCTTCCCTCAAGATGTCAGCGCCCCTGGGCCAGTGATGGAGGCTGGGAGGGGGGCTGTGATGGGGGTAGGGAGGGTGAACAGAGCTTGTGTGGGGACGCAGGGCAGGGCAAAACCAGCCTCCCTATGGCCTGGGCCCGCCAGGGTATGTGGGCCGCCTGCTCCCAGCCCCCCACCCTGAGCATGCGAGCAGAACAATCCCCTTGTGTTTAGGCAGCCAGAGCCTGCATGCTGATGACGGCTGGGGGGTGGGGCTGGGATGGGGGCGCTTTGGAGGTTGAGGGGTTTCCAAGGCCTGGAGGAGGTCGGGGACTTTCAGATGGGAAAAGGATAGGGTCCCAGGGCCTGGCCCTGAAGCAAGGAGGGTAACCCAGGAACCAGCGAGGGCCAGAGCTGAAGTTTAAGTTTCTAGGGAGTCCCTGGAGTCCAAGACCTCTTTGTCGGGGCAGAGGGCCCCCGAGGTCACATGCCCGTTGGTCCAGCGTGAAGGTTACCATCCCGAGCTTGGTGGGGACCAAGAGTCCACGTTCTGGGAGGAGGGAATGCAGCTGTTCCTGGGTGCATCCCTTTGAAGACCACTCCCCATGGTGCTGGAGCCAGGTGGGGCCCTGGGCGCCACAGGTCCCAAGATGGCGGGCCTGGGATAGGGGAGTGAGGAGGCGGGCACCTCCCTCTCCTGGCCAGGCTGAAATGAGTAGCCAGAGCCCCTGTTCCCAGGACCCCAGCTAAGAAGCTGGGTAAGCGCTGAGGGCCTGAAGACCTACAGGGTAGGAGGGCCCACTCTGGGCCCCCAGCCGTCATCTCCACACACCCCTGGCCTGGAGGTCTGTGTCTGGCCTCACCAAGGACTGCAGAGAATGGGAAGGGGTGTGTGCTGGGCCAGGAACCGCAGGGGCGCGCCAGATGGGGCAGGGATGGAGTGGGGCCAGAGCCCAGGGCTGGAGGGCCACGGAGGAGCCGGCCCAAAGGACAGCAACAGCAGGCGGGACGAGGGCCTGCAACCAGGGGTCTCAGGGTTAGGAAGCCCCTCCCTGGTGCTGGGGGCTTCTCTGGCCAACTAGCAGCCCCCACCTGCGCAGGCCGGGGCCCGGCTGGGACAGCAAACGCGTTCCTCCCAGTCTCCCAGTTCCCCAAACTCGCACGCAGCCTGTGGGCCCGGGCCGAACCCCAAAACTTCGCGGCCGGCGGTGCCCCGCCCGGCCCGCGCCCTACCTCTCTGGGGCTGTCCAGCGGCGGCGGCGGCGGCGGCGGCGCGGCGGCTGGGCCGCTCAGTCCCACATTGTCCCCGGGAGAGGCGGCCGCTCACAACTGCGAGTGACATCAGCTGCGAACAATGAGGGGTTTGACAGGCGCGGAGCCCGGCCGGCCCGGAGCCCGGCTCCGCGCCCCCCCGGCCCGCCCGGCGGCCCCTCCCCGCCCCCTCCCCGGATCCGATTACAGCGGCGGGCCCGCCCCGCCGCCAGTGCCGCAGCCGCCCCGCCCCGCCCCGCGCTGCGCCCCGAGCGCCGCCGCTTCCGGGAGCCCGGGCCGAGGCGCGCCGCACCCCTGCGCGGCCCCCGCCGCCCTGCGCCGGCTCGAGCCCCTCGGAGATGGGCCTCGGCCTGCGCCGGGCCCGCTGCTCGGCTCCTAGCGTCTGCGCCATCCAGCCCCGCGCGGGGCGCTCGCCCACCGGAACCCGCACCCCTGCCACCCACGGCGCCCGCGAGGCCCGGCCCTGGTCCGCCCCGGACGGGTTACCGGACCCGCTAGAGGGGCCTGGAGCAACGCGGTCCTGTGCACCCCGCCCCGTGACTCCCCAGAGCTACCCCCAGGATTCCTTTATGGGCAGGGGCGGCTGGGGCGCGGCGCAGTTGAGTCCTCTCCAGGGGGGGCGAGGGTGAGAGTCGCCGGAGGAGCTGGGCTGGTCCCAAGCCCTCCCCCTGCCCCGCCGCACCCCTGGGGAGCAAATCTACCTAGTCCTCCTCTCCTTAATCGGCTCAGCCTGGTCCCGCTGACCTCCACCTCCCCACACAGCCGAGTCTCCTGGCACCTGCGTGTGTGTGGGTGGGGATGGGATCCAATCTCCCTTCCCCTCCATCTGGCCTGGTGGACAAAGGGCAGGGGGACCATCTGGTCCCGCCAGAGTGGGGGAGGGGTCCCAAGGGGCCGAGGAGGGCGGCGCTCTGGAGACAGCGAGAGCCTGCGGGGTCTAATTGCATCACTTTATTTCACCGACCTCCACTTGTCTCCCCACCGCCCAAACCTCAGAGCTGGCAACAGGCTGGGCCGAGAAGATCCAGGCCTAATAACCTCGGGAGGCGTGAAGCATCCAGGAGGAGGGAACAGCAGGGATATCTGAGAGTTAAAAGGGTGGCCCTCCCCTTTTCGGGACACTTCTGGTCGGGCCCAGCTGCGACCAGTGGGTGGATGGAGTTCAGGGCTGGCCACGCCCTAAGCCCGGCAGAGGGTCTCCAGCCAGTGCTGGGCCACGGAGCCCCACCCAGACAGCAGTGTGCTGCATGGCTGGAAGTCTTGTGCCTGTGCAAGTGTGTGAGTGGCCGGAGAACGCACATGCATGCCATGAAGAGCTGCACAAGACAGGCACATCAGCCCCACGTGGTTGCTCCCGAGTGAGGGGTCATATCTGGGAACACGGATGGCTCTAAATGTGTAAGCATGCACGTGGGCATGTATGTGTCTGTGGCTAAGAGGCCAGGATGGGGGTGTGAGTGCCCTGCAGAACATCCAGAGGAGGCAGGAGGGAGGAGGCGGAGGATGGACAGAGCAGGAAGGAGTGGAAGCCAGCAGGAAAGCCTTCAGGAGAAACTCCTGTAGGGATTACCCTGGATCACGTCCCTTGATTCTTGGGTTTTTTTGGTCTTGATTTAATTTCCTCAGTCTGTCACTGCAAGAGAAAAAGGAAAAGACCCCAAAGAGAAGACCCCAGATAGACACACCTGTTGCATGTGCGTGATGAGCAGGAGCCCACGGAGGGAGGGAGGGAACCAAAGCAGGCCAGCAGCCCACCGCCACCAGCAGGACCCAGCCTCATGCCAGCCCCTGCAGGAAATCTAGCAGCCCCTTGTGCCACTCCTCGGGTTTGTCAAGGTAACAGGGGTGTTCCGCACCCTCTAGGACCAACACCCGGTGGTTAGGCAGCTGTTTCAGGTGCTCAAAGCTGGTCTGACCCATGGGGTCCTGGTCTCCATATACTATAAGAGCTGGGGTCTAGGAAGGAAAGGGAGGCACAGTCAGCAGGATTCTGCCACACCAGCCCAGCCTCCCCATCACTGCAGTCTCTCCCTGAAGTCACCCCAAACGACCAGAAGAGAAAAACTGGCCCAGTGGGGGGTGAGGGGAGAGGCCCCAGCACAGTGTGGCACAGAGCTTGGCACTGTAATCTGCTAAGTAAACCACACGTAGGGAGTTTGGTAGTTCAGCTCCTCCCAGAAGTCACCTGTTGGTTACCCTGCCCCCAGATAAGGAAAGGGCCCAGGATAGCCCCCGGGCAGAGCCATCTCAGCCTCCCAACCAAGGTACCTTCACACTGGCATAGTCCGCAGCATTGATTCTGTCAGTGCAGATGGGGGCCACTGGCACATAGCCCCGGAGCTGGGAGCCAGGGGCCGTGAGGAAGGGCAGAGAGTACATGCCACTCAACGATGGGCTGACCACAACCAGGGGGCCCAGGTCCAAGGCATCCCTCACAGATGCCAGGAAGCTGCTGGGGGCCAGCTCCCCAATAGGGGCAGGGGCTGCTGCTTCCTTGGAGCGCCCCAGACCTGCAGAGATTCAGGTGTGGGAGACACAACAGGGTGGTGAGTGGGAAAGCCCTCCCAGCTGTCTCTCCGCACCAGGTTCCTGCAACACAACACACACACGGCACCAGAGTTTATTCCTTACAGCAGCCTCGATCCATCCTATCTGAGGCACACGTGCTTCCCTCCGTGTCTGTGCAAATCTCCCCCAGCAGTACAATGTTCTAAGAGAACAAGCTCTCAAATCCAGCCCAGCAGGCTCCAAGTCCCACTTCCTACCTATGTGACCTTGGGAGAGTCCCCTCAGGCCTTTCTCAGCTTCTCAGTTTTCCCATCTGTTAAAAGGAGGTCACAAAAGTATCTGCTGCTTAAGATTGTTGTGAAACTTAAGTGAGTTAACTGCTTAAGAGGCCTCTGTCCCAGACCAGGCAGTGTGGGTACCTCAAGGACAATGGCTGAGGGGCTGGCTCTGTACACATACCTTCCCTTCACTTAATAGGTTCCTACCTTCCCCAGAAAGATTACCTCAAGACCTTGGCCTTGAAGTTCAGCCCAACCACACTCAGAGCCAATCCTGAGCAGGCCTCCAGGCCCACCCTTGGGCACTGAAACCATTCAACCACGGCCTGTGAGGGGAACAGGTCAGCCATGGGGCCCGGCCTGCTGGTTCAGGTTATGTCTGGCAGTCCAGAGCTGCCCCTGCCTCCCTGGAGCCAGCTTAGGGCTTGGTACAGAGATCATGCCTGGGGTTTGGCCACCCGCCAGGCTCTGGCCTGCCCCAAAAGGTGCCAGGAGACTCAGTCTCACTCCTCAGGGCTTCTGACAGAATACACGGTTATGGCTTTGTCAAAATATTTACTTCCAGCCCACACAGCCCCATTATTATTATGTGTTGGATACTGGCCACATACTCACATGGATAATCACATTCCATTCTCACTAGAGCCAACTCCTAAATGAGTGTGGTCCTCTCCCATTACAGGTGAGGAAACGGGCCCGGAGGCACTGTGCCCAGGGAACATAGAAGCACCTGGGCATTGTCTAGACCGTATCTGGATCAAGACCGGCGAAGCTCGAAGCCCCTGGAGTATGCAGTGCGCCCAGTCAAGCTCAGGGCCCATCCTGACTAGATTCTCCCAGTCCTCCAGCCCCCAGCCCTGGGCCCCCAGTGAAAGCCCCAGGACCTCTGTCCAGAAGCCTGCCGGGGAAATACCTGGCAGGTCAATGGCCACAGCCCGGTAGCCAGCTTGGGCCAGCCTGTGCAGCGTGCCCAGGGTCTGCCAGGTCTCGGAGGAGAAGCGGATGCCATGCAGCAGTAGTACAGAAAGGCCAGCAGCCTGCCCACAGCCTGGCGCCGCCTCTCGGAAGAACAGACTCTGATCCTGCACCCGGATGGAGCCCTCGCGCTGCTCCACGCCCGCCATACCTGCCACTGTGCTGGTGAAACGCCTGAAGTTCAAAGGCAAGCTGAGGAGGAGCCACAGAACACCCTGCCCAAGTGGAGAAGGAGGCTGCCACAGAGCGCGCGGAGGTCCCCGGGGAGCAGCAACGGTGCACCCAGGGGGCTCCCAGAACTCTAGTAGCATGGCATGGGGTGGGAAAGACACAGGTGTTATTTCCGCCTCTGCCACTCACCTAACTGTGTGGCCTTGGCCCATCGTTTCCTTCTATGAAATATGGGCCAATAAAGCCTACCTCGCGCATTAAAGAGTTTTAAAAAGGAAGGGATTGACTGACAAGGGAGGGTGCCTGCCCCTTGGAAAGAACTGCATACATGGGGCTCCCATTACAATACAGTGATAGGGCGCAGCTCACTGCTGGTTGATAGGGTTGTTAAATGAGCCCTCGCAAGTGCAACGCCGGGCACCGTGCCCAGCACACAGTGAACAGTAAGTGTCCGATCAACAGTGAGGAGCTATTTGCTTATGAGCCTCTTCCTCTTCATGGCACTGTCACAGGCGGTGACAGGCCAGTGCAGGCCAGAGGAGACCAGCGCTGGAGTAAAAAAATCCATTTTCCGGAGGCGGAAACCCGGTCAGGAAAGGCTTTGGAATTCCCGCCCGCAAGAGACTCGGGGTGTTCAGCGCGCCGCCCGCTGGGACCCAACGCGCTGACGCCGTGGTCAGGGGCGCGGTCACCCGTGTTCCACGGTTCGCTCTGTCCCCTCCGCGGACCTCGGCTCTGGCTCGCTAGGCCTGGTAGGGCGCATGCGGGACGGGTGGGGGCAGACTCGAAAGAGAGGGCTTGGGGAGCTAGACGGAAAGGGAAAGAAACGGGGTAGATGGGGGTGGACCCTAACTGGAGAGAGGAAGAGAGGGTCGAGGCGCAGGGCCCATACCTGGGGAGCTGCAAGGGCACGCGCAGATGGGAAGCAGGCGAGTGCTGGCGGCGAATGGGGCCTGGAGCGGGGAAGAGGGAAGTGGCCCGGCCGGGGGCGGGGCAGGCCGTCCTACGGGGCGCCCTCGTGCGGCCACAAGCCCTCTCGCAGGACCGGTCCGAACCGCTAGACCCTTCTTTCTTCTCACAGCGGCCTCAGTTTCCCCAAGCCCCTCGGCCCCACGTGCCCCAAGCACCGAGCTCGGTGAGGCCCCGAGACCCTCAGCGACCTGCCCCAAGTGCACAGCGCGCGGTTGAGAAGAAGGGTCCTTTGGGGTCGCATTCCCCCCGCTGCCCACCCTGCAGTCTCCAGCCTGGTCTGCCCAGGCCCAGACCCCTGGGACGCATTGAAGCCTGACGGTTTCAGTAGGAGGCTCTGCCAGTGACCATGCAGGTGGCCTTGGACGTTTACCCAACGCCTCCGAGCCCGTTTCCTCGCCTGCAGAAGGCGTGTGATGCTGCCTACCTTGCAAGGTGCCAATAGGAGTGAATCCTGCACATTGCGCATACTCTGCCTGGCCTCCAGGCGGAGCCTGGAGCCTGGGTGCCGACCACACGTCGGTCCATCACCAACCAGGACAGGAGCCATAAAGAGATAGCAAGGAGCGCAGAATCCATACCGGGCTCGCGGTGCGTGCGCCAGTGTGTATTTGTAGGGGTCGGCCCAGACCAGGAGCTGCTGCGTAGCAATAATATCTGGCATTTACGCAGCGAGGCCTCCGCGCCAGACACTGTTCTAATGCTTATCCCATCCTCCTTAAGACCTCAGGGCAACCCTGTATGGTGGTGATAACTCTGGCCAGTAAGAACCCCTATCCTTAACCCCATTGTGCAGACGCAAGACTGAGCAAGCGTGGAGACATTCTGTGGGAAGAAGCAGGGTGGCTCTCCCCAGCTCTCAGGCCAAAGCCAATCATGAAAATCTGGATGGGGGCCGGCCTGCGTGTCGGGGAGCCGCCCAGTCCCCCTCCATCGGGGTTACCGGGCGCCGGCCTGCGACTGCGGACTGCGCAAGCGCGCCTTTGGGGCAGCTCCCCGACGCGCGGTGCCTGCCGCAGCCGGCAGCGCGGTGGAGGCAGCGCCATGGTCGCCGCGAGTTTTGGCTGCTGGCTCTGCGTGGGGGGCTCCCGCCCCCGCCCCGGGGTGGCCGGCACGGTCATTCCGGTCGGCCGGGTGAGTGTCCCGGAGAGTGAGGCCTGCAGGGACTCCGGGGCGGGCCGCCCTTGCTCCGCCCCTTGCGTCGCCCCGGGGAGGCAGAGCCCTGCGGGAGGAGCCCGCGGTGGGACGAGTGAGCGCGATCGGGTGCTGTGCACGAGTGCGTCGCGCTTGTTCTTGGGATCTGTGTTTACGTGTGTGTCGGTGTAGTGTCAGTGCTTCTGTGTGTCTGTGTTGTGGGGGTGTCGGTGTGCCTGCCGCTTCTGTCTGTGTATGTCTACTGTATTTCTGTGTGCCTGTAATTTTGAGGGTGACTACCCGTGTGTGCGTCCGTCTTCCTGCCTGTGCATGTGTGTTTCTAGTTTTAGGTTTGTGTGTATGACTGTGTGCATGAAATTTGAAGGGCTGCGTACGATTTTGAAAGCGTGTGTCTGTCCATCCGCCTTCCTGATGCCTAACTGTGTGTGATTTTGAGAGGCTGTATTTCCAGGGATTGATGATGCACAAGCCACTGCGTGTGAAAGGAGACTGCGCGTACGTGCAGGGAATAGCTTGTGCAAAAGAAAAGCGCGGAGGGGCAAGATGCGATGTTTGTGTGCACGTGTTTGTACCTGTGTCATTTTTACGCGGGTACAGCCCCGTGTCTGTAGCGCAGACTCGGTTGTCGGCTACCCGTCCTACAGTTGCTCAGTGCTCCAGCTGTCTGGGTTGCTTAGGCAACGGCAGGAGCCCCGCCCCTTCCTACCTGGAGAGGCTCCTGGGGCCCCAGGCCCGTCGCACGGAGAGGACCAGTGCTGATGCTTCACCTGGTGGGCACCTCGGCTAACGCCGAGCTGGAGGCGAGCGTCTGAGACTCTTCGTGGTCAGAAGGAAGAAAGCAGTGCACTCTCGCTCTGCTCAGCTCCTGGTTCTCCAACGGCACCAGAGGGGCTTCCACTACCCACTTACCACCTGACCTGGGAGCCTGGGTGCGGGGGAGGGGGAGTCCTTGGGAAGCATCCCCAAAGCTCCAGGAGAGGGGGAGAGGCCCGAGAGGGCCCCCAGCCCTTAGCTCTAGCCAGCACCCAGGTGGCACTCCAATAAAGATGTGTTTACTGGAATCTGGGAACAAGGCAGGTGTGCTCATCCTAGGCTGAAGAAATGATGACAGGACAGCCATAGGTCAAGTCCACTGTATTAGTGACATTTCCCAGGAGGCTTAGGAAGGCATCCTCAAGTTTATCATTCTCCCTGTTTTACTGACAAACTGAAGACCCACAACAGGAAGTTACTGCCCCTTCTGTGTCCTGGGTCCGGAGCCCTGAGGTCTGTCCTCTGGGCTGGCGAAGGACCCAGACTGGAGTAGTCCATGAAGCAGGTCATCAGCCTGAAGCTTGTGGGTGGAGGGCAGGGAGGCATTCATCTCTCCCGCCTCCATCCTGCCCTTTCCATTTCAAGGTGCACCATGCTCCTCCCTGGCCCCACACCCTCTCCTGCCCCAGCATATCTTCCTTCAGGAATATTCTCCACGAACCCTCCTCCTACTCAGTGTCAGCTGGGGTAGGGCATGAAATATTCCCGTCAATTATAAAATGTGTTTTGCTTTTGGCATCATTACATGCAGTATGATAAAGAGAACCATTTCCTAACATGCCCTCAGTGGGGCAAACTTCACACATAGTCTTTCACCTTTGACGGCCCTCACCACTCGGCCACCAGCAAGGCTGCAGTGCATCTGTCCCCTCCCGGCCTCATGTTTTCCTCCTTGCCCAGAGCAGGCAAAAGGGCAGTAACTGAACGTTTCCCCTGCTAGGGGCTTTAGGACGGGTCTGGGGATGGGGTCCAGGGAGGCTTGAAGGGGCTCTGCCCCAGCGTCTTCTTGCTCTCCTCTCCTCCAGACTGTCATACAGACCTCCATGAGCCGGTCCCAGGTAGTCCTGCTGGGCCTGAGCCTGCTGCTCATGCTGCTACTGTACATGGGGCTGCCAGGCCCCCCTGAGCAGACCTCCCGGCTCTGGGGAGACGCCAATGTCACAGTCCTGGCTGGTCTCACCCGGGGCAACTCCCCCATCTTTTACCGTGAGGTGCTTCCGCTCCACCAGACACACAGGTGGGTGCTGACTCCAGGGTGTAGTAGGACAAGGCGCCGGGAGAGTCCCTGCATGGGGTCTGCCCACCCAACTCAGGGTGCTCAGGGCCTGGGAGGGCAGTGGCAGGAAGGAAGAACAGCAAGCCACTCCCAGACCCAGAACACACACTCCCCTGTGTGCCCACAGGGTGGAGGTGGTGCTGCTCCACGGAAAGGCCTTTAACTCACACACGTGGGAGCAGCTGGGCACACTGCAGCTGCTGGCACAGAGGGGCTACCGGGCTGTGGCCCTTGACCTCCCAGGTGAGAGCCTCCGCCTCTGGGTCTAGGAAGGTAGCATGTAGCAAGTACAAGGGGCAGCTTCTCAGAGGGGGACACTGGAGAGGTTGGAAGGCCCTAAGGTGTGGCTGGGGGCATCTGGACCGCATTGTCTGGACAAGCAGTGGCAGGTTACAACACAGATGGCAAAAGGAAATGGTCTGTGTTTTTATTTTCTACAAAACTACAGTGCGGGTGGTTGTATGTCAGAGAGCAAATAGAAATGTGACTTACTTCATAAGCAATTGCATGGGGAGATCTTACCATACTTTTTATGACAAACTACGTAGCTGTTTGTTTTTTAGCTAACAAATGATTTATGCTAACCTCCTCATTAGCAAATCAAACAAGAATTATGCCCTGCAAGACCCGTGCACATTTCTCTCACCTGTCTGTCAAAGCAGTTTGGGGCACCAGGCCCTCTTGGGGCATTTCCATACATAGACATTCAGACAATAAGCAGGACTGTGTGGTAGGGGTTGTAAGCGTGTTGGTGTCCTGCCTGCTTAGTGAATCTATCTGCAGCTTGGTTTGCTCTGCCAATACCATGTCTCATAGATCATGCCAATCACTGTGAACCTCCCTTTGTGTAGCGCGTGCCACTGGAGGCATTGACAGATTTTACCTAGCCATTCCTCAACTGGTGGATATGTAGGTTGATTTAGTTTTCAGTGTCAGTTGAAATGCTTGAGTAATGAGAAGCTGAAGCATCTTTGGACATGTTTCTTTGAGCATGTGGGCAGTGATTTCTATAAGGTAGCATGCAAAGTTACGATTAGCAGACATAATGTGGGGGGACACGGGGAGGGCTGTACAATGCAGAGAAGACAAGTAGTGATTCTACAGCATCTTACTACGCTGATGGACAGTGACTGTAATGTGGTTTGTGGTGGGGACTTGATGATGGGGGGAGTCTAGGAACCATAATGTTGCTCACATAAGTGTAGATTAATGATACCTAAATAAATAAATAAATAAATAAATAAATAAATAAATAAATAAAGGTAGCATGCAAGGGCAACTGATGGATCAAAAGCATACACTGGTAAGATTTTGACAAATGTTACCTTCCAAAAATGCTGAACAGATTTATCCTGCCATCAGTCATGTGTTAAAAGTGCCCATTTCCCTGTATCTTCCCCAACACTCAACACTGCATATTAACAGTCTTTTCTAGTTTTGTCAGTATGATGAATTGAAGATGGTTTTCTAGCAGGCCTATCACATTACAAAAAATAGCTTTGGGGAAGTTTGGGGTGGCATGTGCCATTATGTCCCCTCTCTATCTCTTTCCCCCACTGTGCTGACTGGAAGTCCTGAGCTCCTTCAGCCTCCCTCACCTGGTATCTCCACTTGTTCCCAGGTTTCGGGAACTCAGCACCTTCAAAGGAGGCAAGCACTGAGGCAGGGCGGGCGGAGCTGCTGGAGGGAGTACTGAGGGACCTGGAAGTGCAGAATGCCGTGCTGGTGAGCCCCTCACTGAGTGGCCACTATGCCCTGCCCTTCCTGATGCGTGGCCACCACCAGCTGCATGGATTTGTGCCCATCGCACCCACCTCCACCCAGAACTACACCCAGGAGCAATTCTGGGCCGTGAAGGTACTGAGAGGAGGGTCTCCAAAGGTCCTGGCTTCCTTTCCTTGACTTGACTCATGGGGGGAAAGGACTCAGGTCTCACCTGGAGGGCCCATAGCCCATCCCCGATCTGGATGGAAAAGATGGGGTATTTAGGGAAGAGTTCCTAAAGAGGTGGCTTTAGGATCAGTCCCCACTAGGCCCCAGGATCACCACACCTTGCCTTGCCCTGCAGACCCCAACTCTCATCCTGTATGGGGAGCTGGACGGAATCCTGGCTCGGCAGTCGCTGCAGCAGCTCCGTCACCTACCCAACCACTCTGTAGTGAAGCTCCGGGACGCAGGCCACGCCTGCTACCTCCACAAGCCGCAAGACTTCCACCTTGTCCTCCTTGCCTTCCTTGACTACTTGCCTTGAGCTTGCCTACTGCCCAGGTTCCAGGTCTGGCCTGAGCTTGGAGGGTCAGGCCAGTCCCCACAGAGGCAGCCCCTAGGATCCGAGAGCCAGGTCTAGTCAGGAACTATCATTTCATCTCTCAAGCAGAATAAAAAAGCATTTTTGCATACCTGAGGAGTGACGGGTCTGTTTTCCTGACGTTGCTGCAGGTGGGGTGGCAGTGGGAGGCAAGGCTGGAACTGCTTTGGGGCTAGGGGCAGGGGGAGTACTCCAGCAGCCTGGCAAGGCTAAGAACATGGGCTCCCTCCTGGCTGGCTGCCCTTGCCACTCTGTGACTCAGTTTCCTCACCTGTAAAATGAGCTTGATGGTAACACCTAGCTCAGAAGGTGGCTTTAGGATTGAGTGAGTCTGGGTAAGTGGACTTGGACACACAGGGCTGGGAGATTTGGGGGGAGGGGTTATCACTGCTGCCTGACCACTGGGGTTGGAGAGAATCCAGGGTCTGGCAGTCTACCAATAACCTCTGCGCACAGGGGGCTTAGAGAATCAAAAACGCAGGGCCTTTGGCCAAAGGGAGCTGGAGTGTAGAGGTGCAGGTAGGGAATGCGGTTTAACAATTAACACAGAATGGTTAGTGACCCACCCAGCTGCTTGCCTCTGTGTGGGGATCAGCAGCCCAGACTTAAACCCCAGGAGGCTTGGGACGGACCTGCTCTCCTCCCCTCCCAGCATGCTTCTTTGGTCCAGAGGTTGAAGTCTTCAACCCTGTCCCTCCCCAAGCTGACTGATCCCCTGAAGCAGAGGGCAGAACCCTCCCAGAGTGCAAAGGGCAGCCTGGCACACAAGTGGGCACCTACAACTGAGTGCAGCCTGTGGGTGGCCATGGGACACCTGTGCCTCTTTATCCTCTCTCCGGTGGCTGCAGGAACCAGGGAGCCCGGCGCAGGGTCAGCCAAGAGTGCGCTACATGTATGGTTTGGTGCAGTTTCCCCACCTCTCACTCTGGCACACAGCCTCCCCATTACATCCTCTCACCGTGACATCCTCTGTCACACGCAACCACCATCTCACCCTCATTGCCGCACACACGGTCATATGGCCATACCAGCTGGTGCACGCTGTCAGATGCGCCCACACGGCGGCACGTGCACGCGGTCTCAGGAGCGGACCCACGCGTGCCCGTCCGTCCACTTAGCCTTCCTGCTGGCCCGCTGTCTGGGCGTCCGCTCGGTGCTCCGCCAGGGGCAGTTTCGGGGCACAGACACCAGTAACCTCTCCGCACGGGGGCTGAGGCGGCCTGGGAGGCCCCCCCAAGAGTTGCTCAGACGTGGAAAGGGGGCAGCTGGAGACTCGCGGGAGGGCTGGGGAGGGGGCCGGGGGCCAGTGCCGGCAGGACGCGGCAGCGCCGGACTCGACAGCGGGGGCGGCTTCTCTCCGCCCAGGCCCAGGCGGAGCTGGAGGCGCTGCGCCCCCTACGGCCGCGGCCCCGGGGCGCAAGGGGCGGGGCCTCCGGGACGGAGGGGGCGGGGCCCGAGGGCGGGCAGGGCTGCGGGCGGAGCCGGGGGCGGAAGCGGCTGTCCGCGAGTGGCGTCCGGAGCCCAGTCTCCGCTTACCGTGTGGAGGCTGGCCGTAGACTGGGGCGCCCCTTATTCGCAGCCTTCGGGCCCGCCCCGCGACCGCGGAGCCAGCCACGTGGTGGGCGGACCGGGGCGGTCACAAGCCCGCCACCTCGGAGGTCCCAGAGCCCCAGCTGCAGTCCGAGGCGGGCGCTGAGAGGCGGCCGAGGCCCGAGACCAGCAGAGAGCGAGGTGGGGGTCCTGGAGAGGGGTGGGGGGGACCTGGGGCGCTCTGGCATGAAATCCGAGCAACTGGAAGTATTCTTTCGAGGAGGGCGGCGCGGGGGTCAGTGTCTGGATGCAAGCCCGGCTCAGCTACTGTAGTTGTCCCGGAACTTCTCTGAGCCTCAGCCTTGTTCTCTGCAAAGTCTGCGTTCAGAGGCACAAACTTCGGGGGGACCCTCGGGGGACGAAATGGGGAGATGTGTGGAAAGCGGTCAGCAGAGCACCTGGGAGCTGGGGGGGCTCCGAGACGGCGTGCTCCCGGCGGGACGAGGGCCGCCCTGGGCAGGGGCTGTGTGCACGCGGGGCCCAGCGGCGGGACGGGTGGGCAGCCGCTCGCTTTGCCCCCAGCTCACCGCGCAGCGCCATGGCCAGCAAGGGTCGCGAGGGCGAGCACCCGTCCGTGACGCTCTTTCGCCAGTACCTGCGCATCCGCACGGTCCATCCCGAGCCCGACTACGGTGAGAAAGCGGCCCAGGGCCTATGGTGGAGCCCGGGTAGGGACGGCGCCCCTGGCCCCCAGCCTAGCCCCACTCTGCTCGCTGGAACAGCGCCCCCATCCCTCCAGACACTCCCTGGGTCAACAGGCTGCTCTGAAAGTTCCTCCGGCCGGCTGGTTGGGGAACACCTTCAACACCTTCACCTCGCCCTGCAGGGCTGGGGCGGGGAGGGGGCTGGGGCAGTCACAGGGGAAGAGCCCCCAGAAGCCTGTGGGCCCGGACAAAGGCCACAGCCTTAGGGAGCCAGCCTTGGTGGCTGGGAGGTGTGTTCAGGGGCCCAAGGTGTGCTGCACCATGGTTTTACCATCTTTAAGGAAGGTAACAGTAGCTCCTTCTCGCCTGGACTTTCACCTGGCCTTACGCAAAGGGTCACTCACTGGCCAAGAACACCCTCCTCCTTGGGGACGGAAACAAGGGATGTGGAATTGTGTTGAGGAAGCTGCAGTTCGTTCCGGGTGTCTGCGCCCCTCTCCACGCACCCCCAGCTCTGCCTGGGTGGTGGGAAGCGTGGGTAGGTGGCCTCAGCCCCAGGACTCTTGTGTCTCCAGGGGCTGCAGGGGCCTTCCTTGAGGAGCAAGCCCACCAGCTGGGCCTGGGCTGTCAGCATGTGGAGGTGAGCCCGGGGCCTTGTTGGGGAGTGCAGATGGGTCAGGGCATGCCTCGGCCGGCACTGACTGCCTGTGCCTGGCCCTCTCCAGGTGGCGCCTGGCCGTGTGGTGACTGTGCTGACCTGGCCAGGCACCAACCCCAGACTATGCTCCCTCCTGCTCAACTCCCACACGGATGTGGTGCCTGTCTTCAGGGTGTGTGTGTGGAGGGGGGTGCAGGCCTTGTACACAAAGGTGATACAAACCCTCCATTCCACCTCAGGGAGCCCCCCATGTGGTCCCAGCACTAACTCCCAGCCTCACAGGGCATTACTCCACTCAAGTGGCCATTCCATGCCCGCGGTGGGAGGGAGGCAGAGATGCGGGGTGGTGGTTAACTGCCCTCTTCCGTCCCTTTCGCCAGCCCACCTGTCACCCTGACCCTACTGTGGGCTCCCAGGGCAGGGCCACAGCTGAGCAGAGTGACTAAACTGTAACTGCGTCCCTGTCCCAGGAACACTGGAGCCATGACCCCTTTGAGGCCTTCAAGGATGCCAAGGGCTACATCTATGCCAGGGGTGCCCAGGACATGAAGTGCGTCAGCATCCAGTGAGTGTTCTCCACTCCCAGTGCCCCCCCTCCACACCCCATGTCCCCACTGGCCCATTGGATTGATCCAGGACCTGGGGTGTGATTGGAGAACCTCAAAGCCAGGGACCATCTTGACCCCTTCCCTTGGGCAGGAATTGCTGCTGTGACCATTGCACAAGCAGTCCCTGACGCACAGGGACTCTCTGGAGTCCCCTGCCAAGCTGTGGCAGAGCAGGGCCCAGGGCTGCAGCCTGCCTGCCCGAGCATCTGGCGGCTCCTGCATCACAGGGCTTACACCCTGTCACTGCCCCTCAGGTACCTGGAGGCTGTGCGCAAGCTGAAGGCTGAGGGCCACCATTTCCCCAGAACCATCCACATGACCTTTGTGCCAGGTAGGAGTGGCCCAGGGAGGAGGACTTTCAGGCAGGGAGGTTGTGTGGGGTGTAGCTCATCTCATGACCCTGCTGCTTTTACAGATGAGGAGGTTGGGGGTCACCAAGGCATGGAGCTGTTTGTGCAGCGGCCGGAGTTCCAGGCCCTGAGGGCTGGCTTTGCCCTCGATGAGGGTGAGCAGGGCAGCAGGCCACTGAGCAGCCAGCCAGGGACAGGAAGCTGCAGTGGGGGCCGGGCCACCGCACCCTCTGAACCCCCTCTCCTCCTCAGGCCTGGCCAGCCTCACTGACAACTTCACTGTATTTTACAGCGAGCGGAGCACCTGGTGTGAGTATGGGTTTGAGGGAGGGACCACCAAGCAGATGACAGACTAGACCAGAAAGGGTAGGGGCCTGCCAAGAGTCACACCACAAGCTGGGGCCCAAGCAGGCCTCGACCTCAGGGCCTGTGCCTCCCAGCCCCTGCCTTCTGGGGGCAGGCCCTCCTGTGGGCAGACACCAGCTCTCCACTGTGTTCTGAGGGGAACAGACCCTGCCAGAGCTTGGAATGAGGGGATGACCCAGGCCCACACCAGGGCTGATTGCTTTTCCCAAGCTGAACACACCCCTTTCCCCTGCATCTCCCAGGGGTGCGGATCACAAGCACTGGGAAGCCAGGCCACGGCTCACGCTTCATCGAGGACACAGCAGCAGAGAAGCTGGTGTGTGGCACTTGGGGGCAGTCTGGGGTTCCCAAGGCTCCTTCCTGGGCCACTCTCACATCTATCTACCCTCCTACTCCCCCAGCACAAGGTTGTGAGCTCAGTCCTGGCTTTCCGTGAGAAGGAGAGGCAGAGGTGAGGTGGCCTGGAGGTGGGTGCCATCCCGCCGGCCCTGCAGGAGGAGGCTGAGCCACCTTTTCTTTACTGGTTCCCCTGACCACAGGCTGCAGTCAAACCCCCACCTGAAGCAGGGGGCTGTGACGTCTGTGAATCTGACCAAGCTGGAGGGAGGCGTGGCCTGTAATGTGGTACCAGCCACTCTGAGCGCCAGCTTTGACTTCCGCCTAGCACCGGATGTGGACATGAAGGTGCCACCTCCAGTGGGTTGGAGGGAGCTGGGTCCTCAGTCCTATCCTGGAGGCTCAAGGAGAGCCTAAAGAGGACAGCGGTCTCCTTTCTCCTAGGCTTTTAAGGAACAGCTGCAAGGCTGGTGCCAGGCAGCTGGCGAGGGGGTCACCTTTGAGTTTGTTCAGGTATGGACTGGGGACCTGTGGTGGGGAGTGGTGGAGCTGGGGAAGCCATGCCAAGTGCATGCCAAGTGTATGTCCCTGGTGCCCCTGCATGCATGTGGGTGTATCTAGCCAGGAGACGTGTTACTCACCTGTGAGCGTTATGGCTGCTCTTTGGTGCTGGGGCTACTGCAGAGAGTTAACAGACAGTTCTTGTCCTCATGGGCTTTATAGCAGGGAGGGAGGGGCAGACACAAAGCAGTTGCTTATGTAATATTGCTTTTATATAAGCATGAACACATGTGGTCCTTGGAAGGGCAGGACCTTGTACCCTGAGAACCTGTTGGGAGTGTTGCCAGTCTGAGGTCAGGGACAGCCGTCCTGAGGAAGGGGCACTTGGGCTAGGATCTGAAGGGTAGACAGGAAGTGAGTAGGGAGAGGGCAGGGAAGGATCCCAGACCTGTGGCCTTCAAGGGACTGGAGAGCCTGTGCCTGGACTGGACATGTGGGTGGGATGGAGGTATGCCCTGTGCCAGGCACAACCCACCCAAGATCAGGGCAAGCTGCCCAGGCCCTGTCGTGATCCTGCCATCCTTCCCCTCCCCCCAGAAGTGGACAGAGCCCCGAGTGACATCTACTGATGACTCAGATCCCTGGTGGGCAGCATTTAGTGGGGTCTTCAAGGACATGTGAGCACACTGGCCGGCCATCCCTCCCAGCTCTCTGCCCTCTCATCCCCTTCCTCCCCTCCTCCCTCTGCCCCTTCAATGCTTGCCCTCCCCACACCCGAGGCTCTTCCCCCTGCAGGAAACTCGCTCTGGAGCCAGAGGTCTTCCCCGCTGCCACCGACAGCCGCTACCTGCGCGCAGTGAGCTTGCCGCGGGGTGGGAGTAGGGTGGCCCTGGACGCTGGCCTTCCCTCTGATGGCTCCTTCTCACCCCTTGCAGGTGGGGGTCCCGGCTCTGGGCTTCTCACCCATGAACAACACACCTGTGCTGCTGCACGACCATGATGAGCGGCTGCATGAGGCTGTGTTCCTCCGTGGGGTGGACATATACGCACAGCTGCTGTCCGCCCTGGCCAGCGTGCCTGCCCTGCCCAGTGACAGCTGAGCCCCATGCTGCCCAACCTCTACCTCCCTGGCCAGCACCAAGGTCCCCCTTCCTCCTAGCCCAACAATAAAGTCTGTGTGGCCAGGGCCACTCCTGACGTACTGACAGCAAGGACTTCCTACAAAGGCAGGGCCTTGCGTGACTCTGGGGACTTGCTGTCACCATCCCCATTTCANACGCAGGGCCTTTGGCCAAAGGGAGCTGGAGTGTAGAGGTGCAGGTAGGGAATGCGGTTTAACAATTAACACAGAATGGTTAGTGACCCACCCAGCTGCTTGCCTCTGTGTGGGGATCAGCAGCCCAGACTTAAACCCCAGGAGGCTTGGGACGGACCTGCTCTCCTCCCCTCCCAGCATGCTTCTTTGGTCCAGAGGTTGAAGTCTTCAACCCTGTCCCTCCCCAAGCTGACTGATCCCCTGAAGCAGAGGGCAGAACCCTCCCAGAGTGCAAAGGGCAGCCTGGCACACAAGTGGGCACCTACAACTGAGTGCAGCCTGTGGGTGGCCATGGGACACCTGTGCCTCTTTATCCTCTCTCCGGTGGCTGCAGGAACCAGGGAGCCCGGCGCAGGGTCAGCCAAGAGTGCGCTACATGTATGGTTTGGTGCAGTTTCCCCACCTCTCACTCTGGCACACAGCCTCCCCATTACATCCTCTCACCGTGACATCCTCTGTCACACGCAACCACCATCTCACCCTCATTGCCGCACACACGGTCATATGGCCATACCAGCTGGTGCACGCTGTCAGATGCGCCCACACGGCGGCACGTGCACGCGGTCTCAGGAGCGGACCCACGCGTGCCCGTCCGTCCACTTAGCCTTCCTGCTGGCCCGCTGTCTGGGCGTCCGCTCGGTGCTCCGCCAGGGGCAGTTTCGGGGCACAGACACCAGTAACCTCTCCGCACGGGGGCTGAGGCGGCCTGGGAGGCCCCCCCAAGAGTTGCTCAGACGTGGAAAGGGGGCAGCTGGAGACTCGCGGGAGGGCTGGGGAGGGGGCCGGGGGCCAGTGCCGGCAGGACGCGGCAGCGCCGGACTCGACAGCGGGGGCGGCTTCTCTCCGCCCAGGCCCAGGCGGAGCTGGAGGCGCTGCGCCCCCTACGGCCGCGGCCCCGGGGCGCAAGGGGCGGGGCCTCCGGGACGGAGGGGGCGGGGCCCGAGGGCGGGCAGGGCTGCGGGCGGAGCCGGGGGCGGAAGCGGCTGTCCGCGAGTGGCGTCCGGAGCCCAGTCTCCGCTTACCGTGTGGAGGCTGGCCGTAGACTGGGGCGCCCCTTATTCGCAGCCTTCGGGCCCGCCCCGCGACCGCGGAGCCAGCCACGTGGTGGGCGGACCGGGGCGGTCACAAGCCCGCCACCTCGGAGGTCCCAGAGCCCCAGCTGCAGTCCGAGGCGGGCGCTGAGAGGCGGCCGAGGCCCGAGACCAGCAGAGAGCGAGGTGGGGGTCCTGGAGAGGGGTGGGGGGGACCTGGGGCGCTCTGGCATGAAATCCGAGCAACTGGAAGTATTCTTTCGAGGAGGGCGGCGCGGGGGTCAGTGTCTGGATGCAAGCCCGGCTCAGCTACTGTAGTTGTCCCGGAACTTCTCTGAGCCTCAGCCTTGTTCTCTGCAAAGTCTGCGTTCAGAGGCACAAACTTCGGGGGGACCCTCGGGGGACGAAATGGGGAGATGTGTGGAAAGCGGTCAGCAGAGCACCTGGGAGCTGGGGGGGCTCCGAGACGGCGTGCTCCCGGCGGGACGAGGGCCGCCCTGGGCAGGGGCTGTGTGCACGCGGGGCCCAGCGGCGGGACGGGTGGGCAGCCGCTCGCTTTGCCCCCAGCTCACCGCGCAGCGCCATGGCCAGCAAGGGTCGCGAGGGCGAGCACCCGTCCGTGACGCTCTTTCGCCAGTACCTGCGCATCCGCACGGTCCATCCCGAGCCCGACTACGGTGAGAAAGCGGCCCAGGGCCTATGGTGGAGCCCGGGTAGGGACGGCGCCCCTGGCCCCCAGCCTAGCCCCACTCTGCTCGCTGGAACAGCGCCCCCATCCCTCCAGACACTCCCTGGGTCAACAGGCTGCTCTGAAAGTTCCTCCGGCCGGCTGGTTGGGGAACACCTTCAACACCTTCACCTCGCCCTGCAGGGCTGGGGCGGGGAGGGGGCTGGGGCAGTCACAGGGGAAGAGCCCCCAGAAGCCTGTGGGCCCGGACAAAGGCCACAGCCTTAGGGAGCCAGCCTTGGTGGCTGGGAGGTGTGTTCAGGGGCCCAAGGTGTGCTGCACCATGGTTTTACCATCTTTAAGGAAGGTAACAGTAGCTCCTTCTCGCCTGGACTTTCACCTGGCCTTACGCAAAGGGTCACTCACTGGCCAAGAACACCCTCCTCCTTGGGGACGGAAACAAGGGATGTGGAATTGTGTTGAGGAAGCTGCAGTTCGTTCCGGGTGTCTGCGCCCCTCTCCACGCACCCCCAGCTCTGCCTGGGTGGTGGGAAGCGTGGGTAGGTGGCCTCAGCCCCAGGACTCTTGTGTCTCCAGGGGCTGCAGGGGCCTTCCTTGAGGAGCAAGCCCACCAGCTGGGCCTGGGCTGTCAGCATGTGGAGGTGAGCCCGGGGCCTTGTTGGGGAGTGCAGATGGGTCAGGGCATGCCTCGGCCGGCACTGACTGCCTGTGCCTGGCCCTCTCCAGGTGGCGCCTGGCCGTGTGGTGACTGTGCTGACCTGGCCAGGCACCAACCCCAGACTATGCTCCCTCCTGCTCAACTCCCACACGGATGTGGTGCCTGTCTTCAGGGTGTGTGTGTGGAGGGGGGTGCAGGCCTTGTACACAAAGGTGATACAAACCCTCCATTCCACCTCAGGGAGCCCCCCATGTGGTCCCAGCACTAACTCCCAGCCTCACAGGGCATTACTCCACTCAAGTGGCCATTCCATGCCCGCGGTGGGAGGGAGGCAGAGATGCGGGGTGGTGGTTAACTGCCCTCTTCCGTCCCTTTCGCCAGCCCACCTGTCACCCTGACCCTACTGTGGGCTCCCAGGGCAGGGCCACAGCTGAGCAGAGTGACTAAACTGTAACTGCGTCCCTGTCCCAGGAACACTGGAGCCATGACCCCTTTGAGGCCTTCAAGGATGCCAAGGGCTACATCTATGCCAGGGGTGCCCAGGACATGAAGTGCGTCAGCATCCAGTGAGTGTTCTCCACTCCCAGTGCCCCCCCTCCACACCCCATGTCCCCACTGGCCCATTGGATTGATCCAGGACCTGGGGTGTGATTGGAGAACCTCAAAGCCAGGGACCATCTTGACCCCTTCCCTTGGGCAGGAATTGCTGCTGTGACCATTGCACAAGCAGTCCCTGACGCACAGGGACTCTCTGGAGTCCCCTGCCAAGCTGTGGCAGAGCAGGGCCCAGGGCTGCAGCCTGCCTGCCCGAGCATCTGGCGGCTCCTGCATCACAGGGCTTACACCCTGTCACTGCCCCTCAGGTACCTGGAGGCTGTGCGCAAGCTGAAGGCTGAGGGCCACCATTTCCCCAGAACCATCCACATGACCTTTGTGCCAGGTAGGAGTGGCCCAGGGAGGAGGACTTTCAGGCAGGGAGGTTGTGTGGGGTGTAGCTCATCTCATGACCCTGCTGCTTTTACAGATGAGGAGGTTGGGGGTCACCAAGGCATGGAGCTGTTTGTGCAGCGGCCGGAGTTCCAGGCCCTGAGGGCTGGCTTTGCCCTCGATGAGGGTGAGCAGGGCAGCAGGCCACTGAGCAGCCAGCCAGGGACAGGAAGCTGCAGTGGGGGCCGGGCCACCGCACCCTCTGAACCCCCTCTCCTCCTCAGGCCTGGCCAGCCTCACTGACAACTTCACTGTATTTTACAGCGAGCGGAGCACCTGGTGTGAGTATGGGTTTGAGGGAGGGACCACCAAGCAGATGACAGACTAGACCAGAAAGGGTAGGGGCCTGCCAAGAGTCACACCACAAGCTGGGGCCCAAGCAGGCCTCGACCTCAGGGCCTGTGCCTCCCAGCCCCTGCCTTCTGGGGGCAGGCCCTCCTGTGGGCAGACACCAGCTCTCCACTGTGTTCTGAGGGGAACAGACCCTGCCAGAGCTTGGAATGAGGGGATGACCCAGGCCCACACCAGGGCTGATTGCTTTTCCCAAGCTGAACACACCCCTTTCCCCTGCATCTCCCAGGGGTGCGGATCACAAGCACTGGGAAGCCAGGCCACGGCTCACGCTTCATCGAGGACACAGCAGCAGAGAAGCTGGTGTGTGGCACTTGGGGGCAGTCTGGGGTTCCCAAGGCTCCTTCCTGGGCCACTCTCACATCTATCTACCCTCCTACTCCCCCAGCACAAGGTTGTGAGCTCAGTCCTGGCTTTCCGTGAGAAGGAGAGGCAGAGGTGAGGTGGCCTGGAGGTGGGTGCCATCCCGCCGGCCCTGCAGGAGGAGGCTGAGCCACCTTTTCTTTACTGGTTCCCCTGACCACAGGCTGCAGTCAAACCCCCACCTGAAGCAGGGGGCTGTGACGTCTGTGAATCTGACCAAGCTGGAGGGAGGCGTGGCCTGTAATGTGGTACCAGCCACTCTGAGCGCCAGCTTTGACTTCCGCCTAGCACCGGATGTGGACATGAAGGTGCCACCTCCAGTGGGTTGGAGGGAGCTGGGTCCTCAGTCCTATCCTGGAGGCTCAAGGAGAGCCTAAAGAGGACAGCGGTCTCCTTTCTCCTAGGCTTTTAAGGAACAGCTGCAAGGCTGGTGCCAGGCAGCTGGCGAGGGGGTCACCTTTGAGTTTGTTCAGGTATGGACTGGGGACCTGTGGTGGGGAGTGGTGGAGCTGGGGAAGCCATGCCAAGTGCATGCCAAGTGTATGTCCCTGGTGCCCCTGCATGCATGTGGGTGTATCTAGCCAGGAGACGTGTTACTCACCTGTGAGCGTTATGGCTGCTCTTTGGTGCTGGGGCTACTGCAGAGAGTTAACAGACAGTTCTTGTCCTCATGGGCTTTATAGCAGGGAGGGAGGGGCAGACACAAAGCAGTTGCTTATGTAATATTGCTTTTATATAAGCATGAACACATGTGGTCCTTGGAAGGGCAGGACCTTGTACCCTGAGAACCTGTTGGGAGTGTTGCCAGT